TTACTTAGTTTTAAGAGTTGTTATTTCATTCTTTTAGATGATCCCATTGTTAAACAAAGCAAGGCATTTAATTTTACTTTTGGCAGAGCATGTATCGCGTTTTAAAAGTGAAGTAGACAACAGTTCAGAATCTTTTTTGAAGTCGTTATGCTCTCAAAAAGCAAGAATGGACAAAAATCTCAAAACTCCTCCATTGAATCAGCCAAACATTGTTTCAGGCGTGTGTGCTGGAGGTAAGCTGACTCTAAGCATTTAAATTTAAATTAATTTAAAAAAATAATGTTTTTGTGTTTCAGTGTTGTCTTATGCAGAAATAGCTGATTTGCATTGCATTATGTATATACTTTACACAGATACGTTTACATTGGACTCCAAAAATTCGTTACCACTTGCAAAATTATTTTCGGAAACATTTGGTAAATCAATTTCCAAATTTTCAGCTGGAGATACAAGTTGCTTCAATAAAGGAAATTTGTACATGTAACAATTAATCATGGTTAGTTAATTTTTTTTTTTAATTATTTTAATATACATCATCTAAATTTCACTTCGATTACTCTCCTAATACTATGAAAAAAATGAAAATAGTAACAAATATAATAATGGTAATAATTTTAAATGCTCATGGTACAAAATTACGTTACTACAAATTTTCATTTAATAACAAGGCAGTCACATTAATACTTATTAATAATTAGTACCTACAGGGAATTATATAGTGAGTGCGGATTTTATAATTTTTCAAGTCATAATTCTTACGTAATTCATAAAAAAATATTCCATGTTAACATTTACAATTACTTAAGTAAATTAAAAACTAATTCTTCCATTTATGGCGGTGGTGGATAGTATGTCCGTTGTGAGTTTGAAGGGGCCGATGATGCACCACTTGGAAAATAATTTGAACTTGGTGGATAAGAATACGGCTGATGAAACGATGGTTGGGAAGGTGTTGCTGATGATGGCGATGGTCTCATAGGTACAGCAACATTTATGTGCATTGGTGAAATATGATTCAAATTATTTACAGGAGGTGGTACGGAAATATTGGTTGGGGGAAAAACTGGCGTGAAAGATGAATTCCCTTGTGGAAAAGTTGATGAATATGGTGGAAAATGGCTTGTTACATCCATCGATTTTGTATTATCAGTAACATCAGCAGACTGACATCCATTCGCTGAAACAGCTGTACTCTCGGATTTAGAAACCTTGGCAGGTGCTGTCAAACAAATTATTCATTAGCCTACAGTTTTTCTGATATCCTACTTTTTTTTAAGTATTTTTTTTTTAATCTATTCATTACCATTTGATGCATTCAGTGGCGATTCTGTCAATGATTGCGTTGATGACTTGTCTTTGACAGATTCATTTGATGGCGTCATAGGCGGAGATTCTGGAGTTTTTGGATTGTTTGCTTGTGAATACAAATCTAATACTTGATGGCATATATCTATAAAATGGAATGTTTTCATTTTTTCATTTTAAAAATGAGTTATTAAATGAATTTTTAATGATAAACCTTCTAATAAATCCATTGTGACATCTTCAACAAACATGTCCCACCATCTTAAGTGTTTAGTTTGTCTTCCTGTCCAATCGATGACATCAAATTTGCTTAATTTTCCTGCAAGATACATAAGGGCTACTGCTATAATTTCTGGTTCCCACTGAAGTGACAATGTCGTGCATAAACTACAAATGGAATTAACAATATCAATAAAACCTGATAATATCAGATAATGATCAATAACCAACAATTATAAATTTTAGTGCTCACCTGTCATTAACAAATGTCCATGCCATTTGTACCATTTTTTGCAACTTATTCTTATCACCTGGAATCACATGAAATTACAAAATGTAAATCTTTTGGTTGAAGGTACGTTAAAAGTAGTTTGGCAAAACGGTTATTAGAATTTTAAAATACCCTTTAGACACTTTGCATATTTTAACAAATAGCTGTATGGGTGTTCCACTTGTAAGTCAAACTTGATGGTTTGCAACAGAATTCTTTCTAAAGTCATTACTTCTTCTTTAGGATCATCTCCAAAAGTTAGAAATTGTTGATCAGGAAGTAACGTTTTTGCAGTTTTGATTATGTCTTTGCATTTTTTTGGTGTTTCCTCTACTTTGCCAGCTAAAAATAAGCAACAGCAGGCTGTCACCTGAAATATGTTAAATCTCTGTTACCAGATCTTGAGGTTTAGAATTTTGCCTTAAAGTCATCAGACAACTTGACATTTATACTCACGTAACGAGGAAATGTTTTAAAGGAATGGAACATGTAAAACCGATGAAAATACACAACACCAGTGGCCATCGTGTTGTAGCCAAGATCCATTTTTGTTCCAACATCAATAATAAATCTGGCACCTTCTTTACGGTATCTGGATTCCGTGTCATAATCGATTCCATCCTGAATAGAGGGTGTATTTCGCAGTTCTTTCTTTTCATAGTACCAGCAGGGCATTTTCGAGTTTTTAATTTGATTGACGATAAAAGAACAAACCAGCATTGGCTTTGCCTTTCAAGCCGTTTTCCAACTTGACTCACTTCTCTTAAACAAAATGTATTGTTTCCCAGCAATGTTCCTCAATCAATATGTTTTTCTACTATATATATATACATATACATAATGATGTAAAAGTGGTGGCACTATATAGATGACAAATTTTTTTTCATTAATAAATAAAATTGCAGTTTGATCCTCATAAATGATTCTTTTAATTCTACGTTTTTTATGTGATATATATTATGACCTCCAAAAAATATGAACAAAAATTCTTGGTATGAAAAAATTAAATTGTAACTAGCGATATTCAATACAATTGTAAAGTTATATTACGTTACAAATATAAAAGAGTTTATATTATATAGCTACCGTAAACGAGTAGGTGATTTTCTGAATTTTTGAAATTAAAAAAAAATCAAATGGTAACTTTAATTTTTGCTATGTGTTGTAATAATTTAGTCAATGTCTGTTTCACATGTGCTGTGATGGAATAATGGTATGATAAAAATCGAATCCGTGCACTTTTTACACTTGTAAAGATAATTGGCAATACAATAGGTATACAAATTTTCACGAATTTATTTTGTAAACTTTGAAATACTGTTAATTAATAAAACTAAATATAAAGTATATTATAAGTTAATTTATTAATTTTTTTTATGTTAGTTCATGCTACCCTTTAGGTTTTAAGTATTGCGTAAAAACTGGCAGTATCGATGAATAATTGCTGAATTAATTGTGTCCACTTGACTCTGACGAGGTCGATTAGTTCGAAACTTTGTGTTGTGAAAAACGCGTGTTTTAAATAAAGGTGTGTAGAGAGCAGAGAGTGAAAAGAACCTTTGTCCCGAGACTCCCGAGCTATAGGCCTCGAACGACCCTATAGTGTGAACCGAACGACGAAGTCGTACGTACCTATTTTCCGGTTTGTTTACGGTTTACGGCAAACTTGTATTTGTAATTTGTATGTTTAGTTGAGTTAAGCACAATCGCGAACCGTGAGCTGCAAAAACTGCAGTTTGATCATTAAGTAATTTATTAGTAAGTACCAATAATGGCAAGCTACTTTGGAGAAGTAATACAACCTAGTTCAAGGGCTTTTTGGAACGATGATGATGATGACGAAATTATTGACAGTAATCAAGAAAATAGGTAATTATTTTAATTCAACTACATAACCTTTTACAGTACAAATACGAAAGCTTATCATAAGAAAATTTTTTAAGTATTTGAATTCAACCAATTGTACGACCTTAATTAAAATACAGTTTTTCTTTTTTACCCCAGAGGATTCGTAATTAAATGGCTTGAAGAAGAACCATCATTTTTCGAAAAATTGTTGGTTATTGAAGGAGAAATGATGACTGGTAAAAAAAAAAATCCATCGTATTCAAATTTTTTTTAAATATTTGAGCAATTGAGTTGACTCATTTGATCATATTCCAGACTTTGCAACTAATTGCCTATTTGAAAGCACTACCCGCTGTATTTGCACCATAGGTTGTGAATCTGACAAGTACTTTACAAAAGTGTATCAAGTTGGAGATCTATGCATTTGTGTTATTGGTATAAAGCTCGATTTGGCACTTACTGGACAGTTGTCTTCAGCTGTAATACTTCACATTACTTGATAATCTTATTATTTATTACTTAGTTTTAAGAGTTGTTATTTCATTCTTTTAGATGATCCCATTGTTAAACAAAGCAAGGCATTTAATTTTACTTTTGGCAGAGCATGTATCGCGTTTTAAAAGTGAAGTAGACAACAGTTCAGAATCTTTTTTGAAGTCGTTATGCTCTCAAAAAGCAAGAATGGACAAAAATCTCAAAACTCCTCCATTGAATCAGCCAAACATTGTTTCAGGCGTGTGTGCTGGAGGTAAGCTGACTCTAAGCATTTAAATTTAAATTAATTTAAAAAAATAATGTTTTTGTGTTTCAGTGTTGTCTTATGCAGAAATAGCTGATTTGCATTGCATTATGTATATACTTTACACAGATACGTTTACATTGGACTCCAAAAATTCGTTACCACTTGCAAAATTATTTTCGGAAACATTTGGTAAATCAATTTCCAAATTTTCAGCTGGAGATACAAGTTGCTTCAATAAAGGAAATTTGTACATGTAACAATTAATCATGGTTAGTTAATTTTTTTTTTTAATTATTTTAATATACATCATCTAAATTTCACTTCGATTACTCTCCTAATACTATGAAAAAAATGAAAATAGTAACAAATATAATAATGGTAATAATTTTAAATGCTCATGGTACAAAATTACGTTACTACAAATTTTCATTTAATAACAAGGCAGTCACATTAATACTTATTAATAATTAGTACCTACAGGGAATTATATAGTGAGTGCGGATTTTATAATTTTTCAAGTCATAATTCTTACGTAATTCATAAAAAAATATTCCATGTTAACATTTACAATTACTTAAGTAAATTAAAAACTAATTCTTCCATTTATGGCGGTGGTGGATAGTATGTCCGTTGTGAGTTTGAAGGGGCCGATGATGCACCACTTGGAAAATAATTTGAACTTGGTGGATAAGAATACGGCTGATGAAACGATGGTTGGGAAGGTGTTGCTGATGATGGCGATGGTCTCATAGGTACAGCAACATTTATGTGCATTGGTGAAATATGATTCAAATTATTTACAGGAGGTGGTACGGAAATATTGGTTGGGGGAAAAACTGGCGTGAAAGATGAATTCCCTTGTGGAAAAGTTGATGAATATGGTGGAAAATGGCTTGTTACATCCATCGATTTTGTATTATCAGTAACATCAGCAGACTGACATCCATTCGCTGAAACAGCTGTACTCTCGGATTTAGAAACCTTGGCAGGTGCTGTCAAACAAATTATTCATTAGCCTACAGTTTTTCTGATATCCTACTTTTTTTTAAGTATTTTTTTTTTAATCTATTCATTACCATTTGATGCATTCAGTGGCGATTCTGTCAATGATTGCGTTGATGACTTGTCTTTGACAGATTCATTTGATGGCGTCATAGGCGGAGATTCTGGAGTTTTTGGATTGTTTGCTTGTGAATACAAATCTAATACTTGATGGCATATATCTATAAAATGGAATGTTTTCATTTTTTCATTTTAAAAATGAGTTATTAAATGAATTTTTAATGATAAACCTTCTAATAAATCCATTGTGACATCTTCAACAAACATGTCCCACCATCTTAAGTGTTTAGTTTGTCTTCCTGTCCAATCGATGACATCAAATTTGCTTAATTTTCCTGCAAGATACATAAGGGCTACTGCTATAATTTCTGGTTCCCACTGAAGTGACAATGTCGTGCATAAACTACAAATGGAATTAACAATATCAATAAAACCTGATAATATCAGATAATGATCAATAACCAACAATTATAAATTTTAGTGCTCACCTGTCATTAACAAATGTCCATGCCATTTGTACCATTTTTTGCAACTTATTCTTATCACCTGGAATCACATGAAATTACAAAATGTAAATCTTTTGGTTGAAGGTACGTTAAAAGTAGTTTGGCAAAACGGTTATTAGAATTTTAAAATACCCTTTAGACACTTTGCATATTTTAACAAATAGCTGTATGGGTGTTCCACTTGTAAGTCAAACTTGATGGTTTGCAACAGAATTCTTTCTAAAGTCATTACTTCTTCTTTAGGATCATCTCCAAAAGTTAGAAATTGTTGATCAGGAAGTAACGTTTTTGCAGTTTTGATTATGTCTTTGCATTTTTTTGGTGTTTCCTCTACTTTGCCAGCTAAAAATAAGCAACAGCAGGCTGTCACCTGAAATATGTTAAATCTCTGTTACCAGATCTTGAGGTTTAGAATTTTGCCTTAAAGTCATCAGACAACTTGACATTTATACTCACGTAACGAGGAAATGTTTTAAAGGAATGGAACATGTAAAACCGATGAAAATACACAACACCAGTGGCCATCGTGTTGTAGCCAAGATCCATTTTTGTTCCAACATCAATAATAAATCTGGCACCTTCTTTACGGTATCTGGATTCCGTGTCATAATCGATTCCATCCTGAATAGAGGGTGTATTTCGCAGTTCTTTCTTTTCATAGTACCAGCAGGGCATTTTCGAGTTTTTAATTTGATTGACGATAAAAGAACAAACCAGCATTGGCTTTGCCTTTCAAGCCGTTTTCCAACTTGACTCACTTCTCTTAAACAAAATGTATTGTTTCCCAGCAATGTTCCTCAATCAATATGTTTTTCTACTGACTAATATGTACATACAGATGTAGAATTTTCATTCTTGACTTCAAAAACCATTGTTTTGCTTTTATTTATTTATTTATTTTTTTAAACTAAAACACTCAAAAGCAGAAGTCCGAAAGTATCAATAGTACATTTAAGTATATCAATATCACTGTTGGTTTCACTAGTATATGACATTTATTTAGTACGCGATGGCAACCAACTCCAATTGCATGCCAATAAATATTGTAATTGATTTTAGCATTTACCGAGTGCACATGAATTAGGTATGATTGTGCAAAAAACACTTTACACGTACCGCATAGAACAACAAAGCTTGTCCATTGTTTGGAGCCCAGAGGTTAGTTTGGTAATTTGTTGACTATTCAATAACATACGTCCAAAATGGTGAGAACGCACTTGTGCTTGTAATTAATGAATTATGAAGGCGCTCGACATTTAATTACTAATATTTAATGATAACTTGTTGCTTAAATGTATCGTAAGCAAATAAATAAAAGTTGACTCGTGTGCTATACAGACTACTCACACAGACCGGTGCTCCGAAACGTTGTATATACATGACATATGTAATTATCAGTGAGCATTGCCGCGGGAACTCGGGAAAGAAAAAACATCACTGATTTATCAAACACTACTTATGCAGTCTGTACTTATGGATGGGCGCTTACAATATACTTACCGTATAGCAACACAGGAACCCAAACGCATTTCTTTTGTTTCAACACTTTGCACCTACCTACTTGCCGCTATTTCATATAAAAATCACATTACCACGCAAGTAGATTAAGAGGAGTGCTATACCTATATAATTATGTATAGTTCCTGCGTGCGTATTGCATCAATAAAAGTCAATAAGACTGCGCATGATGAAAGTTTTTTAAATTTTTTTCCACCAAGCAAGTGCATGGTAGAAGCATTAAAAAAAAAAAAAATGATTAAAATTGCATGCCACTAAGTACAAATACACAAAATGTGTATAAAAAAATTAATATTTACTACTGCGTTACACATATATTTAGTATACCTGTACTTATATACTCTCATATGCGTGTTTTTTTTTTCACTCTATGTAATTACCCACATACACAGATATATATCTATATAATCTGGGTCTCGATCAACACGTTCGTATTTTGCAAATACTGATTCAAGTATTTTTGGGGCTTTGTAAATTCGTATTTCTTTTACCCATCTCAGCTGCAACTGACAAAGATACGTCTTCGTGATGTTATAAGTATACCCACATAAGATCTAGCTCAGTAGTCAATAAGTGATGATTTCAATTTAGAATTTGACAATACTTTTGAATGAATTAATGTTAATTTATAATTTTGTATTATAAGTACTTGAAACTACCTCCGTATGTTTACGTAGAGTATATTATATTTATACGTTAATTAACATTAATCAGTGCTGGTTGTTGCTTATGTAGAAATGATGTAAATCGGTAACCGGCAAACTGGCTTTCGTCTTTTAGAAATTAACAAACTCTTGGGAAATCGATCAACCATATGCATCGATGCATCAACTGAGAGTATAAGCATGAATAAGTTGTGGTTTCCGAGCAAGGTGGCGCAACGTGCGCTATTCTTGAGGGAAATTTTTGTCTTTCAACCACCTTTTGTTCCTGTAACTGTCCGTTAGGCGGCCAACATAGATTATCGGCTTTTCCGCAAGTGTCAAAAATTGAATATCGATTCGGTTGATACATATGTTGTAACGAGCCTTAAGCTCTGGCGGAGCACCCCAACTACGTAGGTACACTTGTAGGTTTCTCGAGGCAAGGAGCAGCTGAGTGACCTTTTAAACATTTTGTTTCCGCTAAACAATAGTACTTCGATGGCACGAAGCAAATAAAAACAAGAATTAGCAACTATCTGTAATGAAAGGTTTTCGAAATACTGCCTACAGAGTTAAAGATGAGTTAAGTCAAGAAAAGATGGACGATGACTCGGTTTCTATTTATAAAAATTTAGCCACGCGAGAGTTCTTTTCCTTTTCATCGCGCATTTGGGTACTCTCAAATTCTTTATTTTTCCGAATTCTTCGGCAACAACAAACTTTTTTCGTATAGCATCAATATTAATTTTTTTGTTTCACCGGAATCGCGTCTAGTAAAATTTTCCATCAAAACTAAATCACCTCCTTTGTATATATATATATCCATGCGCACCCCCTGTGCTTGATAAACTCATTTGAAAAAAAAAAGTCTCCAAGCGCGTGGCTGCAGCTCTTTCAAATAGAATGCAATTTTATGAAAATGCGACATGTCATCCCCAATAAGCCAATATTGTGCACCTTTACGGCTCGAAACCTTACATCCCAATAGCCGTCGAGCTGTTCGAGGGTCACCGTAACGCCGACACGTACGCGTATAGGAAAGATAACGAAAAATTGAAAAACAAACCGAAGGGAGAGGGAAAAAAAAAAACCAAGAGATAAAAGACGAGGTAAAAGCGAAGAAAGCGCGTGCGAGCGAAGCGAAGAATATGAGTATGAATAAAACCGAGAGATGATGATAATAATAATACACGACAAAGATTGTGATGGGAAGGAGAGAATGTACGTGCACGCGTATATAAGGTGCGGAGAAACTAAGCGGCTATCTGTATACGGTGACGAGGAGCGTTCCCGCGTAGGAATAAAATAGTAGGTGGGCATATATATATATATATACACATGGCAACACACAAGGGGCGCGCTCGGTCTCTCTTATCTGCGGATAACAGACGCGAGCCAACCAAACACCAGCTGCCACATGGAAATTATCTACGTAAGTATAGGCGATGCCTCCCCGCAGCTACATTCATATACGGCAGAGGTACGACGAGCAATGATGCAGTATTAGGTATACCTACACCTCGTTTTCTTGGTTGTTTTTTTTTTTTTTTTTTTTTTGTTCTTCCGCAATTATACCCATCACAAAAATCGACTGGTCCCTCAAGGAATATACTTACGGATTTTAATAAAGCTGCAGGCAAGTATATAGTGCTCGCACATGTGACATATATATGTGGATGTACAGGTAAATGAGAGAGAGAGGAAAAAGAGAAAAGATGATGAGCAGGTCTCTCGCGCGTTACGTAACAAGATGTGCGCGGGGGCCCGAGTGAAGAAGCGTCCGTATCGTAAGAATGGACCACCCAGGATGGAGGAAAAAAAAAAGGTCGAGAGAGTGAGTCGGTCTTTACTGTTGCTGCCGGTCTTGAGGGCCGACGAAGAGGCTCCTCGGGAGGGTTGAGCGCGAGAACGATGAACCTCTCCATCAGCCGGACCCAGAGAGAGAGAGGACAGCTTTTCTTTTCTCTCTTTGGAGGTGCAACGCACGCATCAGTGGAATTGTTCGTGCGCGGACTCGAATTCAGCTATACATTGCCACTGTTGAGGAGAGAGGGGGGTAGGGGGAAAAAAAAGGCCTATGGCTGCACTCTTCGTAACTGCATGTACACGATGTATAATATTATTATGTGCGTTCTCGCGTATCGCGATGGGTGGGCCCGGCTCCTCTCGAGGTGTTAATCGGGAGATACGTGCCGGCTACCGTGTGCATCACTACTCCTATGCTCAATTAGTGTACACGTGGGAATATACATATACATATATATATATACCTACCACGATGCCATCTTTTATCTATACGTCCCACGTAATACGTACAGGTATATATTATGTGTACACTCTCGCGCTCGCATGATTATTCTTATTTGCCCCTCGAGTACGTATAGGTGGGCGTGTATATTTTTATACATTGATTCCGCGGAGACACGGCATCGTCATCGGCAGCGGAACAGAGGCCTCCCTTGTTGTGTTGTTTCCGAGCGCATCAGCGCACACCTAAAACACTTATTTATAGGTAGGTATACATAATTATATATATTATATACGTATAACTCCGTTTGTGCATATTATGCCGTTGCGGCTCCGACGCTTCTTTCGTATGGCACTCTCTTGTGTTTAACGCACACGTCGTGTCTATTCGTGTCCATCCCACTATTTTCTGCTGTATCATCGGCACATCGACGTCCGCGATGGTCAAGCGAGAGCTACTTTCAATGGAAAATGGAGCATAAAATCATCGGAAAAAATTGTATTTCAGGAAAAAAAAAAGGTGCTACAACGACTTCAAAGCATTTTAATGAGTCCATATTAAGTATTATTATTATTATTATTATGTGGATGATCTAAATTTTTTTTTTCAAGATTTTCACCTTTTTTTTTTCTTCATTTCGTACTTTTGAGATATCAAAGAAATGTTTCCCACGCTTCACGATGGTGCTGAATTATTACACTTGACACTTGGTTGTATGATGATACGCGTCGCCTCTTCGACGCCACCCATTACCGTTGATTTTCTATCACAAAAACAAAACGACCCAATCATCCCGAAGAGTAAAATTTTTCCCCCCCAAATTGCATAGTACTTATGTATTTATTCAACATTTGAGAGACATTTTTGTCTGGTTGGTATAAAATCAAATCTCTGTTTCATTTTTCTTATGTCCAAAATCTACAATTTCTCGTAGACAGGAAAGCTCGGCTTTGAACACACACGCGCGCACACACTCGGTAACACCGGAAGTGTAGCCAGCATTTTGGCCTTGGATGAAAACGAGGTCTCAACGGGCACTCGATTATCGCGCGCGCGCGCGTGCCCTGTTACCCGGTGAATTTCGGAGGAGCGTAATTGCCAGGGAAAATATTGTTCCCTTGTCAATAACTGGGCGAGTGGTGGTGTCTTTTTTTCTCCTCCTCCTCTTTTTGATCTACATGCATGTGCAGAGAGTCTGGGGGGCGAGTTTGCGAGCACACGCGCACACACACACATAGGCGAGAGGAAAAGATGTAGATACTTGTCGTCGCGCTTGCAGTGTACTGTATACCTACGTTGTACAGGTTGTACCCATAGTAGGTATATATTTATGTGTGTAGCGACAGGGGATGGGACGAGCAGGGCGGAGAAGTACACACCCACAGTCAGTCAGTCGGAGGTTACCTCTCCCTCCCACCCCTCTCTTGGGGAGCTTCACCCACGGATTCGGTGGGAAATGAAAAGAGGATGAGAAAAGCTGTGCTCCACGCGTACCCACGAAAAGGATGGGAGGGTGGAAAAAAAAAAAAAAAAAAAAAAAGGCGAAAGTGAATGGAGGCGCGGGAGAGAAAACGAGCACCGGGGGGTTGGTCGGGTTTTTGGTTCGCGTCGCGCGTGCTACGCGGCAGTGGTGGTGCTGGTGCTACACTTCTATTTGCAAAAACAAAGTTTGCACGGGACAAACAGGAGCCTGTCTGCCGTGTGTACATGTACCACACACACACACACACACACACACACACACACACGTTACTTTATATACATATATATATATATATATATAGTATGGGTGTATTATAAGTACATGCGCACATGGTTATATTGGTTCTATGCATATATGAGGAAATCCAATCCAAATCGACCATTTTACGTCACAAAAAAAAATTAAAATTTTTTTTGAGGCACACCTTTGCAATAAATTTTTTCTTGTTCTATGTACCCTCAGAAATAAGGGAAAAATAGTGTGCAAGAAATT